TGGCAGCAGCAGCCTCAGTCTGTGGGAGGTCCTAGCTCCCCGGTGGGACCCCCAGTAGACAGGGATGCTGGATGCGGCATGAGCCGGGACCAAGCCAGCTTGGCTCAGTCCCAGTTCACACCAGTCCGAGACTGCTGGGGCTCTGCATTTTAAATGCAGAGCTGTAGCAGTCCCAGCTCACTCTGGTCTGGAACCTACCCGCTTTGTGCCTCTGCAGTTTACATGTAGCAGGAGCTGAGCTGCAGTGTGGGTAGCTCATGGACTGGCGCAAGCTGGAACAGAACCCTTCGACTAATTGTGTAGTTGATACAAATTGTATCGAATACACAATTAATCCATTACCCACCCCTTAACATCCTATTCATAGTAGTCATACTGCCTTATCTGGTAATTTTTGTTTTGAATATTATTGTGTTAAACCTCCATTTACATTTATACAAATTTGTCCTGCAGCACAAGATTAAAGCTATGACTAGGTCAATGAAAGAACAATCCTTTCATTGCCCCTGGACTTGTGAATAACTGGAGCTCCTGCAATATGGAAACATGTCAACATTTGGCCTAGCTCTGAAAAGGTTTCTAGTATTGCTTAAGGTTTTTGAGATCACCAGAACTATTACATTTAATTACCACCTTCACTCTGTTGAAGCCCTGCTTTTCCTATTGGGTCCATTTGAGTTTGATTTATCTAGAGCTTCAAAAGATATTTTTGTTTGATTGGAAGGATCAATATTTAGAACCATCTCCATGTTTGTTTTGATAAAGTCTTAAAACTTAAGTGACTATTGATGTGTACAGTCTGTCTTCCTGCACAGTATGAGACTCAACAGAAACAGTGTGTGTTTGGAATCTAATTCTTGCATCGGATTTATAAAGTTAGTCAGAGCAAAGTAGTGAAGGACTGAACACTTTTCCCCAGTCATCTTCAATATAAGAGTTTCACGAACTCTTTACTAATTCCAAACAGCCTGAAATAATGGGAGAATAATAATAAAGTGATCAGATTTTTGAACTCAGTTGCAGATAAAAAGACCTTTTCTTTCTCATGGAACAAGAAAGCACACAGGGCCATATTAAGTAGAGATTTATTTCCAGACCCAGAGAGGTCACATGAGATTTTCTATTTTATGATTATATGGCACGATTTCAGGATGGAGATTGTTTTCACAGCTGAAGAGGAACTGCCCAACACAAAGCTTTTGGAAACATGCCCAGATCTTTGGGCTGTGTGTGTGTTTACATGTGTATGTTTCTAGATGTCTTCCCATTTTTTGTGATGATACATAAGTAACAAATTAGTCAGGGCTGGGACAGGTGGTTGGGGTGCAGGCTCTGGCTGAGCAGTGCTTACTCCAGGAGGCTTCTGGAACTGACCAGCATGTCTGGCTCCTAGGCGGCAGGGCTGGAGAACCCCACATGCTGCCCATGCAGCTTCCACTTGCTGAGGTTCCCAA